AATGAACACACTTTCAGGGAAAAATGTCCTTTTTTCTGATAAAGGTTATCAAATTTCAAGCAAAAACAACTTAAAAGGAATTCTTCTGTTTTTATTCTAATAAGCAAATTAGTTAGTTTACGAAAAGCTGGGCAGGTAGATCATACAGTGCAGAGAGAGAAACAGTTATCTATGCTGGTTTGATGAGGAAGGAAAGGAATAAAACTGAAGGGAGAGACTGCAGTGTATTATGAAACCCCTGCCTCTACTGAGCTCAGGATCTTTGATGTGTACCAGATTAATGAATTCCTAGGCTTATCTTGTGTAAATGTTTTGTGACTGCATTGAGGACAAATGGTGAAAAGTGCTGGTATAGGACAAGTGGTGGAGAATGCCGTCCAGACTGGGAGAGGGTTGGGGACTGCTGCTATTAGTGGTGTTGCAGCCTTGCAGTGATTTTTGTGTCTTTGGCAAGTGCAGTCTGATTTTGAAGAGTTGCAGCCTGTGTGTTTGACTTTCCACATGAGAGGAAGAAAATTTACTTAGCTTATCTTTTAATCTGCTAACATTACCCAAAAAGAATCACACTCATCAGCTTTGGTACCAGCTCTTTTTTCTTACAGGTAAATAAGTAGCTCTATAAATAAATATATTATAATACCTCTATAAATAAATACCTTTTATTGAGGTATCAATTCTTTATCAGGGCGTACTAAAGCAAGTATTACCCTGGAACAATAAAAGAACAGCTTTTCTAGAACAGTTTTGTGCCTGAGGAGATGGGGAGGAAGTTTGCAGGTATTCCAGCAAATTCAAGGATGGTTTTTACCTATGCATATGGTCTGTGGTGACCTGCATCCTTTCTGTTATTTGAACTGTACCAGGCAAAAATTGTTAGAGAACTTTAGTGAAATTCGAATACCATTGTTCGTTGTCATGACACAGCAATGGACAATGCTTTTCTATTTTTTCTTACCTTTTTTATAACTGAGAGCATATGCAAAGAAAGCATCATCTCTTTGTGAGTTTTCATAGTTCAGATGCCTATATTTCACCTTGAAATAAAGTAATTTGACATATCAGAGTAGTATAACTGGAAGATGTTACAGTCTAACAGAAGATTATACCATCAGATGAAGACTAACTCGGAGCAACAGATAAATTCGGAAGAACTAAAACACTTGTATTCATGCAAAGGTCATTGAATAATAAATGAAGGTAGTAAAACAGAAATCAAACCAGAATCAAAATGTTGGGTAAAATATGCAAGCATTTAAAAGGGCATCAACTTAAATAAGAAATGTTTTTTGGTATTTTCTTCTTCTTTGAAAGGGAACTACATGTTCAAAAGAAAAGTAGGAAGTATGCTATACTAGGTCCAAAAGTGTATCTGAAATGCCATGGCTCCATTTGAATGTGACTTCCAGGTGTATTCTGAAAAAATTATTATCTGAAGATATGCATATAGTTAGTATCCAGTGTCATTAGTCTTTCATGAGTCTTCTCACGGCTTATGTTAAGCAAAAATGTCAGAAAACTCACTCCCGAAAGACTTACATCTCATAAATTTACATCTTCATGGGACCTCACTGATTTATTTTGTAATGTCCGACCTTTATTTTAGATGTAAGACAATGTGTACAAAGTGGTCACTGTACTGAAATTTGTATAATAGAATGGGAAAGAATAAATATTAGAGCTAACAAATAATTTGATTTTTTCTTGGTGCATGAATCTTTAAATGTTTTGGAAAAAAAAATTTTGTAGATATTTCTTGAAACAGTATTTTTATTTCAGATGAAATCAGCATTTATATGGGATTTTTTTTTTTTTTTCATTGAAGGAATTGAATAGGAATATGGTGTTTAGTTTAGTGAAAGTGAGCAGGCCTGTTGGGTAAGATGTTTCAGTAAACAGCTGGACTCTCCTCTGTGCTTTTGCTGCTTTATGCTACTCAGGTAGTCAGTAATCCTGTTACTTACTTGAAGTCAATCAGTCTAACATAATTAAAAGGGTGGGGAGCTATCATGCATGGGCTGTAAATAATTCCTCTTTGTACTTACCACCCTTAGGCAGGGATTTCAGTTCACTGAGAAAGCAAAGCTGTTTAAAAGAACGTTGTTCAAATTAGGTGTGCTGCTTGGAAACTTTGGCAAGATAAAGAGAAACTTCTGATTTTATACTCAGTACATCTTTCTGCCTGCCCAGGCAGAAATTGGACTTGGTCTATGTGCAGGTTTTTGCTGGCAGAGTTATGTTGTTAATGAGTGTGAACAGATGTAATTCCTTATTGACATACCTGGTCTATCATAAGCTACAGGGTAAGCTCAGTTGCTTTTGCAAATTTGTGGTTTTAAAGTCAGCTGAACTCATGAGGTAGGTGTACTATAGAAGTGCAAGGCATGGTTTTGACAGCATTGGCAAAACACTTATGTTCATTCAGTATTCATAAACTTCTGCTGTCTTCTGTCCATAGACATACCCTACAGTAAAACGGAATTAAACAACTAAAAATCCTTAAAAGAAGACTGCACTCACTGGAAAAAACAACAACAATAAAAACAACAAAAACAAACAAACAAAAAACCCCAAACAAGCAAGCAAACAAAAAACCCTCCAACAAACAGTAATCTAAGAATTAGAAGAATTCAGAGTTTAGGTTAAATAGGGTGCGTGCACACTCTAAAATAATCTAAACCAGTCAAAATCTAGGAATGCGTTGTAGTCATTAACCCTCAGAAGAGTACCTGTTAAGGGACCATGAAGTTCTTGAGAGCATTTGTAGAAGAATACAACAGCCCCCATGAATGTTGCTCATCATGTTCAATAACAGCACACAGATATTGTAGTCACACACAGGTAACAGTAAGGACCAGATGCCTAATTCCCTGCACAAAGTATAACTTCTAAGGAGCCCCTTGAAAACTGAAAAGCTGTAATTAGAGAAACTGCCTTGGCATAAAAGATTCACCAGGATGACCTACTTAGAAGGATCGTCATGTACCTAAAATCAGGCTACACTTTTCAGTCATAAATATTACATCCTGGCTTTTTTAAGGCTGCATTTCTCTTCCAGTAAATGCTTCAGTTTGCATTGAATAGCTGAATAGTGCCATCGCATCTGATTTCTCTGAGAAACATCCAGAGTGTATGAAATTAGAGACTAAAAATAAAGACATTTTTCACTATAGCTGAATTTCTACAATCATTATAAAGAAAACCAGGGAGATACCTTTTAGCTTCTTAAGTCATATTACCTGCATGTCTGTGCAATTTTAGGGTTGGTTTTCTTTTATCAGAAGTGCATCATGTCCTTAGTTTATCTAATGCAGTCTGTAATTCTACCTATCCCTCAGCATAGTATCAGTCTTAAAACTGGTGCCTGGAATATACTACTGGGGACAGTGTTTAGAACTGAATGAGTAAAAGCTTCTCAAAGCACTACCCTGGTCTTCTCCCATGGAGCTTGAGGGGGTCAGTTAGGACTGCTTTAGCAAGGGGAATAGGAAATTCAGAAATTTCCAGCCATTAGTTCTTACTCCTACAGTACATCTCACTGCCTCCTTACTGGTAATACTGCAGCTTTTTCTGAGGCTGTACTGGAGAACAGATCATTAAAATGATCATAGTTAAAAATAACCTTTTCCCCAAGCTGGAAGTAGAGGGTGTTTTCTTGAAAGCACTGCTACGTAAAATTTATCCTGCTTTCTCCCAGAGGTGAGGCTTCTGCAATCTTGTTGCGGTGCCCAGACTCAGCTCCCCTTAACTTCAGACACATGAGTAATGGTGCAGTTTTGTAATTGATTTCAGCTGTTCTGGCTATGGACCGTTGCCAATGAAGGTTCCTGCGTTTCTTCCCTCCCTCTGCTTGCAACTGCTGCCGTTTCTTTCTACTACCCCTAGAGATCACGTTGAAATGTCATGAGCAAATTGCCTTGCTGATATGCCTGAAAACTGCCCAGAAAAGAATCATAGAATCATAAAATCATATGGGGTTGGAAGGGACCTCTGGAGATCATCAAGTCCAACCCCGCCACTGGGGTGGGTCTACCTAAAGCAGGTTGCACAGGATCTTGTCCAGGCGGTTTTTCAATGTCTCCAAGAAGAAAGAATGGTATGGAGAAGGGAATGGTTAGTCTTTGGTCAAATAGGCTAGCTGCTCCTGACTCGTTGTGTCTGCACTTGTGATCCTGGGGCAGCATAAAGGAAGAAATGGAAAGGTACATCAAGGGAGCAGGGAGAAGGCCTGGGACAAAATGTCTTGTTGCTTTCATGTAGCCAGGCTGGTGTGAGCTCATGCCAGACTAACACTCTGGGATGAGTTACCTGATGATATGCAGTTGCTCCAGGCTGCCTCTACTGTCACTGTGGGTAGGGGAGAGTGGGATGTGTCTGTCAGTGATTTAGGTATTGGAAATTTCCAAAGCCTGAAGATGAGACCACTTCCATCCACTCAGCTCCCTGTGCTGATTTTTTTGAGTGGGACTACATGTTGCTAAGACTCAGCGGGAATGCACTGTGAATGAATTGGCCAAGTTCAGTAAGCTTTGAGAGACTGGTACAGATTCAGGAATATTAACTCCTTACAAGGTTTGTGTAAGTGGAATCCTAGGCAGAGAACAAGTATGCTGTGTTAATTCACTGGAGAAAAGCTAATATTTTTAGCCTTTTATTTCATAGGAGGGAGTTCAAATAGGGAAAGACACTGCAGACAGAGTTGATATGATGTATGGTGTATGGAATTGTTTGTTTTCTTTCAGAATAAAACCTGGTATCCATTGAAAGACTAGAGTGTAATAAATTTCAGTCTGAAAACCAGTAGATATATTAAATTTCTCTTCAGAGTATTTTCCTTGTAATCTGGGATATTTCCATCTCTGAAGAAAATCCAGGTTTGTACATTTGAAGCCCTGAACTGTGTTGTCTGGTGCTTACATGAAGGATTTGTATGATACCATATCAGTGTGAAGAAGCAACTAAGAAGGAACAAAGTATAAACTTTTTCCTCTCATATTTTTCAGGTTGAAGATTACGGCTTCACGTGTATTTGGACGACTTCTGCTGATGTCCAACACACAATAGATGCTCTAAACAGTATTCAGCAGGCCCCTTTTGCAGCATAAAAACAAACCTTTGAGACAAGATGGAAGAAACATACAAAGATAGGACTTCATTAGTGAAAGGAGCAAAAGATATTGCCAAAGAGGTGAAGAGGCAAGCAGTGAAAAAAGTGAATAAAGCTGTTGACAAAGCTCAGGATGGCTACACGCAGAGGTCCTACAGCCGGTTCCAGGATGAGGAAGATGATGATGATTACTATGTCCAAGGAGGAAATTATGGTGTAGAAGCTAATGATGATGAAGGCTCAAGTGAAGCGACTGAAGGGCATGATGAAGATGATGAAATTTATGAAGGGGAATATCAAGGAATTCCCAACATGGGGCAGGGCAAGGATGGCATGGTGGCCTTAGGTCAGCCTATGCGTGATGAATATAAGGATCGTCATGAACTGGAAACAGAGAGGAAAGCTGATGAAGAAGAGCTAGCGCAACAGTATGAACTGATAATACAAGAATGTGGCCATGGCCGTTTCCAGTGGGCACTCTTCTTTGTGTTGGGAATGGCCCTAATGGCTGATGGGGTTGAAGTTTTTGTGGTTGGATTTGTTTTGCCCAGTGCTGAAACAGATATGTGTATACCCAATTCTGGATCAGGATGGCTTGGTGAGTAAAGTCTTTGTCTTGGTGTTATTTCAAGTGTTGCTTACAGTATGCTTAAATATGTATATGTCAACACCAATGCTTACATAAGAATATGTTTGTATTGACTATTAATAAGCAATCCACAAAACGCATTAACAGTTAATACAGATTTAATATTTTGTTTTCATATACAAGAGTAGGCATCCATGTGAACTAATAAAAAAAAATTATACAGGATTAGTAAAGGCATAAGAGAGGGGACAGAAGCCAGCAGGACAAAAGGCTGAAGGTGAGCCTGGGGTATGCCTTTTTGCATCTGACCTGTTGACGGGGATGGGCTGTGTCTCATCCAGTTGCCTCTCCTGTCCCATGGTGTGGTGTGGCAGGCAGGCTGGCTGGCTGAGCCAGCCCTGTGGGACTCGGGGAGAGCAGCAGCCTTGTGAGCAGGTCCCTGCTTGCCCTCCCTGGGCATGCCCAGGTGCAGCAGATAAAGTAAGGCTTTCATGGGCCAGAGCTGTGGAGAAAGGGTGTAGAAATGCTTCCCCAAGGAAGAGGGGACATGAGAGTGTGGGGGCTTGGAACGTGTTAGAAAACTGAATATATGTATGTAGATAAGCATCTTGGGCCTGAAGGACCCAGGCTATTACAGAAAAGGAGGACTTATAAAATATTTAGGAACTTTTGTCTCCTGGCAGATGTACTGTTTGTTCCTTGCTTCTTTACAGTGCATAGTTCTGTTGCAACAGTTTTATTTTAACTTAGCTCATTTTCCTGATTTTATTCCTTTGGTCACCATCAATTAGGAGGACCCTAAGATGCCAACTGCATCAAAATTAGATTCAGAATTTTAAACAGCACAAGGCTGTTTGTGCTATTTAAATTACACAGAGGCTTTCTTGGTAGACTATTAAGACCATGGCAGGTTGGATTCCTGACATACCAATACTAGGAGTTTGGCTCTATAGCTTTCAATAAAGTGGACTGTAGTCAGCCTCATTTATATCTGTAAGCCTCCTTCCATGTCAGAGGATCATGAGTGGAAACAAGAGCTGTATTCTCAGATGGCTGAGTCCTTTGAGGAATTCCTTTGAGGAATTCCTTGCCATTTGATCATTTGTTGTTAGAAATGAACTACTATGCCTATTAGTACAGTGCAGAGACTAAACTTCTAATAAAAGAAATTAAATTATCTAAGTTTTTATTGTTAAGGAGGCTGTATGCAAATAATCTATTTAGTACTGCTTGTTTATACAAATTTACAGACATCCTGTTTGTCATGCTTGGACTCGTCGGTTTTCAGATCTATTTCTTACAGAAAGAAGGTACATAAACATGTCTATTTATGGCCACTTTGGAGCTCTATATGTAATTCAAAGAGTAGAGAGAAAGAAGAGAAACCAAAACAACCCAGAAAGGTATCTCGAGGTGAATGTTACCATGTTAGTGCAGACGGCAACACAGAATACATTTTATAAAAGCTGTGTATGGTCAACTTGCTTTTATTATGATTTTGTTACCCATTACTTGGCAGTTGAGGACATCTTAAACTCCACTCGTCAATTTTTATAAGTCTTCTCTGTTGCTGGTACAAAAATGATGGATCTTAACCCCATTTTTTAATTACTGATAACACTGTTTGTTTTACACAGGCACCTTCCCAGCAAATTGGATGGTCAAAGCTGTCTTTGTTCTCCAAGATGATAACAATATATGGGTAGCCACCAAATCTCTCTGCAATTAGATCATATGGGGTTAAGGGAAAGAACAAGGTTATGCAACATTAAGAGGGAGCTTCATGATGCTTACACTTTCAAAAGCTAGCTGATCTGCAAATGCAGTTCCTTCCACTTACATTAAATGTTAAACTGGGAAGTGAATCTTTTCATAATTAAGACATTCTGAACACTTTAGCACTCCTGGCTTCTCTGATTGTCAAGTTATGGGTGTGGAGAAAATGGCTGCAATGCTTTTTCTTAGTTATACCTTCTAGAGAGAATAAAAATTTGTGGGAAAATACATTAATATGTTATATTTTCTAAAAATAGTGTTCCATTTAAAAAGTTGCAGTAAGTATTATAGAGGTGTCTGGAATTGTGAGTGGGAAGTATTGTCCCCACACTAGCAAGTAGCCATGAGGATTTGCAGCCACCTGTTAAAGTCTGACCCATACCAAGAAGAGGGTTGGGCAATTCCCTGTCATTAGATTTCTTCTGATGCTTTCTTGACATACATTGGGATGACTCTGTCAATATTTAACTAAGATTTAGTACAGAAGCTGTTAAATACCTCATAGATAGATACATCTATGTGTGTGAGTATGTATATGATGCTTGCTGAAAAAATCAAGGAAACAATTCTGGAAGGCTTAGGCATGCAAGCAATGTATTCTCATGCCTCAAATACAGAATTTGTAATGTATATCCCCGTATATTCCTTTTGTAATAATATAACACTAGTCTTTGTATTGTGATATTAAAAAAGAAATGATTCTGTGCTAAAAGATTAACATACAGAAGCAGGAAAGAACGGAGATAAGCAGTTTCTTTCCAAGTGTGTATTGAAGGCACTGCAACACATGCTGTTTTTATCAATTGTTTCATAAAAATGATATTACTTTCCCATTGCTAATAGAAATACATCATGGGCTGCAATTCATCAGTACACTGATGTACATACTGCTTATAACCAGTGTAGACATACAGTCTTTGCAGACAGCCTAGCCTTAATTCCAGTGATACAAAATACTCATCATGGCAGTGAATGCTTACTGAAAGCATTTTTATGTGATCATAACTAGGCCCTCACAGCCATGCATTTCAATTATTTTGCTGTTGTGATTTCACATCATAATTACATCCTAACTGGGGTCTTCCAGACAGGCATAATTTTTTTTCATTATTATAATTCCATAAGCCAGAGGGCTTTAATGTCGTTAGAATACTAAAGTCATGGGACCAGTGCTAGGAATTATAAGGTGGAATTGGCACAGATACACAATATTTATTTTCCAAGCAATTTTCTAGACTGTTAAGAAACACACTAAGAACATGTTAATTTGCCATTGAAAAAGGACTCATTGACTCAGTTATAAAAGCAGATTTCTCAAAAATTATGCCATGATAGTTTTCTAGGCTACATGAGCTAATTAAAAGCATGTGACAATATTCATAGAGCTTCCCTGTTGCATTTTTTTTTTAATTTACTTGCACCAGGGCAGTTTCCCAAATTCCATCCCTATTGACCTTTGTGTGAGCTTCATATTACTGTTGATTGATCACTAGCAGCATTTCAGAGCCCATAAAGTCCCGTGATGAAAGCGCTAATCAGGATCATGAACTGTTTTCTCAATGCCTTTTAAGTTAAATAATAAAATAATGTGTTTTTTATCTCCAAGCCAATGTTTTATTAAAAATAAGGAAGCTTAAACTCTTCCAACATTATAATGATATGTCACTATGCGTGAGGGAAAGGTTTCCTTTCGCTACTCTATAACCTGTACTTGTCAACTCCTGCATGTATGTGGATCCATGTTGATGACCTCTTGGGTTCTGGCACCAGTATGGCAGGATTGTACCTTCATGAGACAGGTTGTAGGCTCAGACCTAAAGACATTGTTTTAACTCTTTTCCTGCTTGCATCTTACCCCTTCGGTTTTACATGCAGCTCAGAACTGGACAAATTTTAGGTTAAGCCTCAGGGCTCTATTTGGGTGTACTTTTCTGTATAATTTTGTTTCTATGTCTTTGCGTAGAGATTGTTATTAAGTTATATAATTTTTTTCTATAAAATTTAAATTATGAAATAATGAAACATTCTTTTCCCTAAGCTAGGCAAAGCTAGCCTTTCCCAGCTATATCTGTTCTGAAAGCCATGCCTCTGCTGACCATCTTCTCACTGGTTCTTCCATGGGACATGTAACTGCACACCTTCATGGCAAGACACTTGACAGCAGCATTGCTGTCACCATTGCTAGCAATAGGTACAGGTTGGCTCCTCCTTGACTGGCTCATGATGCCAGTCTTCATGGCACCAGCTGGCACATTTTTCAGACAGAAACCTCCATCCCTTTTTTGTACTTTATTTCCTCAGCACCAGAAAGAAAAAAAATCATATGAAGGTCCCAGGATTAACTGATTATCTTCTTTACAATTTTTTTTGCATTCATGCCAACAAAACCTGAAAACTGGTTAGCCACCCATATACTTTGACTGCGATCCTTTCCAGAGGCCAGCCATTCCTCATTGCTTCCTGGTAGTCTGCCGAGTCAGTTTTGAATCCATGTGTCATCCCCTCTATGAAGTGTAGACTGAATGATCTCTTGAGCATGAACAGCCTTTTTTTTTTCTGTATTACTTACCATCATGTTAAGCAATGTGTTACCCAAGTCCTTGGCAAGGGCTTATAAAAAATACAGTAACAAAACCAGAAATAATCTTTATATGTAAACGATCTTAGTTGATGAGCTATACAGACAGTTTCTTCTATCTAAAAAGCTCAAGTATCATGGTAAATCACTGGGCTGATAATGCAGATATTGTGAATGTGAATAGCAACAAACAGCCTTGGAAATCAAAGGATTTTCTGAAACTCCACATTTAGTGTCAAATAATGCCTTGATGTAGGAGTTTTCTGTGATATTACCAGAATTTAATAATTACATTTTGTATAATTTTTGTAGGAAGAATAGTATCGGAGGTATTAACTAGGTATTTTGGGCTGATGTCATTTCAGCCTGGTTCAGCAGGCATACTCCTATCGCTTCTGCATTGGTTGCCAATTTGCATATTAGCTGGTTTAATGCTATGCTTCTTATGTCTGCTCTGTATTAAAATCTATGAAACATAACCCAGCATAATTCTTATCCAGACAGTTCTTCCTTCTACATGGGAGAAAGAGCTCCCTAGAGGCTGAGTAGTTGATGCAAAGTGCTTATAAACTCTGCTACGAATATCAGATGGTTACCGAATTCTCCCCCCTCCCCATCCCAAGTTTAAAAAACTACTGGCTTGATAGATCTTTGC